CAGTACCAGAAGGCATTAAAAACAACAAACAGTGGTAGTAAAATGTACAAAGTGTAAATATAAACATAAATCATCATTACTGCCTCCTAGATACAATTTTTTGCTAGTTTTGGGGAAACGGCTCAGTGAACATTTTCAAGAATACTGTTTAAAACAGTCACCATAGGAAGCATGGTCTCAGTGGAAATGCAGTAATAGATCTCAGAGCACAGTAGTGGGGCCCTCAGTGAATTACTCTCCCTGCTCTCCAAGATCTGAGAGGCGCTTTATCATGGTCATCACACAAGTTTCTCAAAATTTCATGTGCACACAATCACCCATTATTACAATGTGGAATCAGTAGGTTTGGGATGGGGCCTAAGTTTCTGTACATCTAACAAGCTCTCAGATAATATGATGCTGTTGGTCCACAGACCTCACTTTGAGTAGTGAGGTCCTAGCGAGTATTTGGAAGAGCCCTTTTCAAATCATGTAAGTAGGTTTATGGAGCACCCCTTACAGGCTTAATACCTCACCCCTGATGGGACAGCCACCTCCACTGTAGTGAGTAGACGCACTTCCAGGTTAGGTTTTTTTCCATTCAAATAACTCCTTCCCTTTGCCTCTAACACCACAGCTATCAACCCCCTCTTGTCACACTGCTTGTACAACCCGTTAATGATCATCGCTATATCATCTCTATATCTATATGCATTCATTTTTTGGTACCAAGAGAGGGCTTTGGCCCTTTGTAATCTCAATAATATACTTTCTCTCCTCCAATTACTTGGTTTGGACAGTTTATGTTTCTTAATCTGAAGCAAAAGTTTTAAGCATCTCTTTCCAACCATCTTGGGCTCTAAAGTCCACCCTACGTAGAAATTCTGGTGCAGCCAGTCAGCATATTTCTCTTCTATGTGCGAGTTCTGAGGGAGCTGGCCACATGCATCTTCTCCAGGTTGCCTGAAGACTTCTGCAGTTATCATCCTAATAACTTGTAGCTGTCCATCTATTGTTAAACAGATCTGTTCTCGTCCTTCATTCTAGTCATTGGCCTCATTGTATATCTTAACTCAATTCCCTACACAGTGTCTATTGTGTAAAATAGCAGTTTTCATAATTTTTTTCTGAAGCCATGGAATTCTTTCACCAAAGAAAGCTTAAATAAAATAGACTAAGCTGGTCTGGCTGAAGCAGGGGGAGACAAAACTAGAGAGATAGCCAGGAACATACCTTGTGTGTTAAGGTGTTTAAGCATTATCATGAAAGCTATGGGGAGCAAAAAAAGGATTTCAAGGAAGAAAAGACATGATTAAACTTGTACATTTTGAATGATTACTCTGGCAGACATGAGAAGGATAACTTGAAGAGGGTCCAATGGAATCAGAAAGACTAGGAGGGAGGATATGAGCAATATAAGGGATATTAATAAGTCAGAATCATCAGACCTTGCTGTCTATGTATGGAGGAGTGAAAGAGAGGAGTATAGTAGGTCTTCCAGGTCTCAAGCTTGGACAATTATTGATGCAGGGCTGCAGGGGTTGCCAATTACTGAAATGAGGAAGATAGGAGGAGGAATAGGTTTAGGGAGAAAGATATTGAGCTCAGTTTTGAACATATGAGTTTGAGGGAGACATCTAGTAAACAACCAATTGGGTAAATTGATGTAGAAATCAGGGCCGGCCCTGTGGCTTAGCGGTTAAGTGCGTGCGCTCCGCTGCTGGCGGCCTGGGTTCAGATCCCCGGCGCGCACCGACGCACCGCTTCTCCGGCCGTGCTGAGGCCGTGTCCCACATACAGCAACTAGGGGGATGTGCAGCTATGACATACAACTATCTACTGGGGCTTTGGGGGGAAAATAAATAAATAAATAAAATTATAAAAAAAAAAAAAGAAATCAGCAGAACCTGGCTTAGAGACCTAGCTTGTATCCGAGTTGATGTTACTATTTGCAGACAATTCTTAGCCTCTGCTTAGGCAACTGCTCAGAGTTCATACTGAGTAAAGCCTTTTTCAACCGAATTGTTTATAACGTCTTGCTTTCTTCCAGTATATTCTGCAAATGTAGGTTATATGTAGATTATCTGTTACACTTGTTACTTCAATAATTATTTCTCTCCTTCTCTTTCCGAAGTGCTGTGAGGGATCAGAATTTGCCACCTCAAAATGTGTCTCTTTGGCTTGATTATTTTTAAGAACAAATGACTCAGGTAGAAACTTTGTCCCTCTAACTGCCTAAAAGAATTTAAGATAGAAGGCCTGTTCCAGGAAGGAGCTATCACCATAGATAACTACAGTATAATATGAACTATGTGTGGTAGACAGGGAGGCACCTAGCAAGGCCCCTTTGATCAAAGTCTTCTCCATGTCCCATTGCCTTTGCAGGGCATGGCAAACATTTATTTACCAAACATTTGCTTTTCCATCTCCATGTGAATTGCCTTCCTCCCCTTTGAAGTCCCAAACCACTACCCCCAACATCCTCCTTTGTCTTTAGCTGAAGATGGTGTTTAAGGTGTTGGCTTTGGCCATTTTGGTGAGTTACTCAGTTTTCCTGGGTTTCTCCCACGTATACATGTTATTAAACTTGTTTGATTTTCTCCTGTTTCTGTCTCATGTCAATTTAATTCTTAGGTGAGCCAGAAGAACCTAGAGGATAGAGGAATATTTCTTCCTTCCCTACAGTGCTCTTTGCATTTCTGAGTTTGGGGTTCTCTGTATTGGCCACGTGCTTAAGCACTCAGAGAAATAGGGAGGGTTTTATTCTGTTCCCTTTGGCAGAAAGAGTCATTTCTGTTTAGAATTGGAGCTCAAAAGATTTAAAGGCTCTAGCTATGAGGAAATAGAAATTAATAGAAAATCATGGGTGTAATTTGCAGAAGGTAAGATAGACTGGGTTGCTATGATATGAGGTAAAAAAAAAAAGAGGTACTATGTATAACAAATGGACAATATTGTGCTTTGTTTAGAAGGTTAAATTGTGCTGTGCATTGTTTTCTGTTACATTTTAAAGTGGTAGTTTTCAAATTTGGGTTTAAAGTCTTTGAGGGGCCACTGGGAGGGCAGGAGAGTTGCTCAGGCCCCTCACCACCATCACCACCACTTCAGGCAGAACAACCTAATCTATTTTACAGAAGCTTTCACTGAAGAAAGGATTCTATGGTTTTTTTTTTTTAAATTGTGAAAATTACTGTTTTATGCAATGAAAGTTCTAAAACATATGGAGCGGTCATTGAAGGAAAAATTCAGAGTGAAGGAAGGAAAGAAAGCTGTTTAACAATGGACAGACATCTGGGTAGTATTAGGATTATAACTGCAAGTTTCAGGCAACCTGGAGATGCACTGTGGCTAAATCCCTCAGCACTTCCAGGCAAATTCCTCACTTAGAAGAGAAACATCATGATGGACTGGCTGTACCATGGACTCTGGGGCCCAACCTGGTTGGAAGGAGGGGCCTGAAACCATTTTTGCTCAAGAGGAAGAAAAAATACACTGTCCAAACCAAATAATTGGAGGGAGGTGATGTGACTGACATCACAGAGGGCTAAGCCTTCTCTTAGAACCAAAATGAATGCACATGTGCAGATTTACAGAGACAATCATAAGGGGGTTATGCAAACCACGTGACAAGAGCAGATGGACAGCTGTGATGTCAGAGGCAATGAACTGCCTGAAGTTCCTTAAATAAGCCACAATTTTTCTGCCAATATTTTTCTCTCCATCTGGAACAGCTTCCTTCCCTTTCCTCAGTTAGCTAACCTCTTGACTCTGTTCTAGCATTCTCTGGAACAAAAGACCAATAAAATTTGGATGGATGGCCCTTCTTTGTGCTACTAACACAAGACATAATTCTAGTCTATTTTAATGTTGATTTACTTTTGTTGCCCCACATCTTAGCTCCTTAAAGGATAACGCTTGACATAATCTGCTCCAAAGATTAGCACAATAAGAGCCTAATAAACGTGTTGAATTAATAAATCCACAAAGCTTATATACTAGGATCCCCTCAAGGTAAATCGGGAGGAATCCTTTACAGGCACTTAACACGCGCTGCACGTTTGACTCAGGGAAGAGTTTCAGAGGGGAATTAAAACATGCCCATGATTAAGGAAGACGGGAGACAGGAAACATGTAATATTTTCAGTTTTTGTTTGTATTTGTGTGTGTGAAGAATGTGAGGCAAGAGGGGATAAAATGCCTCTCAGTAAGAGATTAAGTGGCTTGATTAAGCTGTCTCGAATAAGGCGAGGGATACAATTAACAACCGATGTATTGGAAATGTATGTGTTGGGGGCAGAGGAGAAATGACAAATGGATTCAAACTTTTGGATAATGAAACAATGACCCTTATGTAGGTTGGCATAACTAGTGTCTTGTACAAAAGCTGCTCCCGGACAAAATGTCCAAGAACACTAAAGAAAACTATCACAATACAACAGTGAGTGGGTGAATACGTTTCCCCGTACGCTGTCAAAATTGCCGCCTGCCCTCTCCTGCTCTCCCGTTTTTGGCAAATCAAACCCAACCTTGCCCAAATCAGACGAAATAGACCTTAAAACACGTAAAAAACCTATGCCTTTAAATGCAAACACCAGTCTAGGGGCTGCGGCCGGCAGTCGAGTCCAATCCCGGGACATGGCGGTAAACCCGACTCCCCAACGTCTCCTGGGGGCTCAGATGGTACCGGGGCCGCAGTGGGCGAGCAGAAGCCCCCAGCCCCGGCGAGTTTCCAGGAGACAGAGGCGAGAAGACCTCCGACCGACCCTCGGGCACAACGGCTTCCGGGGCCCGCCAAGGGGGGGGGGATGGGAGAGGGCAGGCGCTAGACGCGGGAGGGGGGCCGGGAGCCCCGGGTGCGGGACCCTCTCACCGCCTGGCCCGCAACCCGGAAGCAGATGCGGCCTGCGCGGCGCGGCGCGGGCTGAGGTTCCGGGTCGGGCCCCGCCGCAGCCGGCGCTCCGCTCGCCGCCGCAGCGCCCGGTTCCCGCGCTTCGGAGCTGGGCAGGCGACGGCCGCCCGGCCGCTCCCGGGGCCAAATGGCTGAGGAAAACGCAGGGAGCAACCAGAAGCTGGTAAGGCCCCGGCGGGGCGCCGACCCCCAGGCTCGGCTCGGCCTCGCCTCACCGTCCCGGGCCGCCTCCGCCTAGGGGCCTCTGCCCGGGGCCGCCCGCGGTCCCGCCTGCACGTCCGGGCCGTCAGCCGCGCAGGCTGTTCCACCGCCTTCCGATTTCCCGGCGCTTGTTTTCGACCGAGCGCTTTCCGGGCGGCCGCTCCCGGGCGTCGGCGGGCTCAGGCTGCCTGGACGGTGGCATCGTCAACCATCAGCACGCGCCTGAGCAGCTCCGGGCCGGAGGCAGATACCCGGGTTGTGCTCCCCGCTCTATCGCCGCCGTGTCACCTTGGACAGGCCATTTAAGAACCCCGGTTCCTGCCTTTGCAAAACGGGCAATAATAACACAGACCCTGGAGTTCCCCGAGGGCCCACTGAATCTTCCTCCTCTTAGTGTTGAGCTTTCCCCAGTGCGTGGCTCACGTGGGCGCTCTTAAAGCTTTTCCTGCTGGCCTGTGGGGACGAGATGATAAGTTGAATGCGTCATTTCCTTTCCATTTTCACCTTTAGATCTGGCTATTTTTCTTTTTTAACCCCAAACCAAAAGAATAATTTATGTTTTGAGGGTTTAATTACCCCCAACCAAAAGAATCACCCGGCCCCATGCCCAAATCCAAAACAAGAGACATCGGAGATGCCCGCAGGAATACAGGGCTACTACGTAGCAACGCTGCTGGAGAGTTGGGGGTGGGGATTACCTGTGAAAAAAGAGCAAGTGGAGCAGAGAGGGTATGTTTATCCTTTGACTTCTGAATCTCGCTATAGGGTATGAGAGTGCTCATACTAGTGGCCAAAAGCACAGTGATGTAGCAAGGCTGGTTCCAGTCATTGCCATAGGGTCTGGCAACCACCCAGAGAGTGGAACATGGTGACCCGCTGCTAAGAACGTTTGGCAGCGTTCATTCAGGAATCCGTCATCCAGGCTAAAGTCTGTCATCCAGGGTATTAAATGCAAATACCTTATAAAGGAGTAAGGAAAACTGAAGGTTTTGTGTATTGGTTGACTTTTTCCCCCCATCAATTTCTTTCAGAATGAGGAAATCGAAGCAATGGCAGCTATATACGGCGAGGAATGGTGTGTCATTGACGACTGTGCCAAAATATTCTGTATTAGAATTAGTGATGATATCGATAACCCCAAGTGGACAATTTGCTTGCAGGTATTTTTTTCCCCCTTCTCTACAGCCATTTTCCACTTACAACATCGACTCTATATGATTGACTACTGTTGTATTCCTCTAATGACTGTTTCTGTATGACTTTTTTTAAATTGTCGTTTTGTTGTTAGCTTGTGTTAACGATTGATTATCTAAACATATAGGTGATTAAATCTCAGATCACTCTCAAGTCATACTTTAATTGATAGTCTCGTCTTTCCGATCCCAAGTTTTTTAATTATTGAAGTATTCTTAGTGTACCATTGGCACACATGAGTTTCACTTCCTTTCATTATCCATTTAACAGGAGAGAGTCTAAACCTGGGAAGATGGCTAGCATTTAAGAGGAAGAATAAGTTAGTAATTTAGATAGCTCATAGAGTACATACTCATTTCTTTATTAATTGAGAATCAGTGTGATTAGAATAAATAAATGAAAAGATTGGTATGGCTTTCTGTTTTAATGCTTATTCTTTGATGACTGCCTGTACTTTCTTTCTTTCTTTTTTTTTTTTGTGAGGAAGATCAGCCCTGAGCTAACATCCATGCTAATCCTCCTCTTTTTGCTGAGGAAGGCTGGCTCTGAGCTAACATCTATTGCCAATCCTCCTCCTTTTTTTTTTTTCCCCAAAGTCTCAATAGATAGTTGTATGTCATAGTTGCACATCCTTGTAGTTGCTCTATGTGGGACACGGCCGCAGCATGGCCAGAGAAGCGGTGCGTCGGTGCGTGCCCGGGATCGAACCTGGGCTGCCAGTAACGGAGCGCGTGCACTTAACCGCTAAGCCACAGGGCCGGCCCATGCCTATAGTTGCAATATAAAAGTTGCCAGTTGAGGTTTTGTCAGTGTTTGTTTTTATAATAATACTGATTTGAAAAGAAATGTGTATGGTTCTCTATTAAGTGTTAGCTATTTAATGTATTTAACAGTATTTAATAAGTTTTTTTGAGTGTCGCTTCAGAAAAATACCTGGACCATGTTATAATGCCACTCTATTCATTTGGAGTTAGGGTTTAATGCCTCTGTTTGAATTTTTCTTTTCCTTTCATCTTTGTTCTTCCCTTGTTTTCTAACTTTCATTGCTTTTATACTTTCTCTGCAAATCATGAACTCCTCCTTAAAAAATCGACATCATCATTAACAACATATTTAATGTAGAAGCATAAATAGGAGAGAATTCTCTCCTGAGATTTAACAAAACGATGGTTTTGGTTTTTAGTTTGGCAAGTTAGAAATTTGTCCAGTGACTAGCTTACATATTTAGATATTGTTATTTTTGAGCCATGATGAAGTGTAAACAGATTTGTTCTTAAACTGCTTTGTAGGTGATGCTACCGAATGAATACCCAGCTACAGCTCCACCTATCTATCAATTGAAGTAAGCTATATTTCTACGTTTATATTTTTGTAAAAAGATTATACTTTTCAAAGATTGTTTCTCTATACTGTACATTGTGTTTATATTAAATACCTCTCATCAAAATGTATATAGAAATTGAAAACACCTTTTGGACTTGGTATAGAGCATTTAAATAAAAAACTAAATTATATAAAACACACTGAAGTATGCCACTTAGTATGAAAGAGAATCACAGGATTCGTAGGGGTAAAACAGCTACAGAATTGTCTTTAGAGATGGGAAAGGAAACCTTCCTCTTTAGACAACCTAGTAATCTAGAAACCCTGGCCTGTAGAGTTTCTCCTAACCTGGCTCTGCTGCACAGTTCCTTAACACATCTCTGCCTAAGACTGCCTGCCTTCCAGGAACTACCCATGGTGCTTCTCCCTGCCCATTCTTGTTGAGGCTCAGCAGCCCAACCTTAATTTTTTTTTTTTTATTGAGGTCACATTGGTTTATAACATTATGTTAATGAGTCATGACCTGTTGATTGCAAGTAACCTTTGATCAACCTTGCCCACTTGACCTACTAACATGTATAAACCTATGTGAACAGAATTGCCTTAAATCGCAGTTACTAAAATTTTTTACCTACCAGTGGGATTATTTTTTGTGTGAGTGTTTTAAAACCATAGCAGTAAAATTTGCTATTAATAATTGTTCTGTAATTTTTAATTTTTATTTATTGAAAATGGTAGATATAATTATAGAATGCTTGTAAACATAAATGCCTTTTTCAGAAAAAGTTAATATTTTTTTACATCACGTAGCAACCAGCGTATTTGTTAGGGTTGTTTTTGAGACACCAGTTAGAAAAACTTGGGAACTCCTGATAGTATGGCAAATACTGTGAATCTGGAAATTTAGATTCTGGAACCTGTTCTGCCACTTATTTAAACTTGGGCACGTTTATGATATCCTATGAACTCCTTCCTGTTTTTTAAACCATATTTTAATTGAATAATATTGGTATTGGCTTCATCGTGGTTTTCTGGGAAGACTAAATGAGTTAATGTGAATGAAAGCGTTTTGGAACTGTATAGATTTATACAATATAACATTTTAATGAAACTAGATAATTTTTAAAAGCTAAATACAACCAGTTTGTGATTTAATCATTAATTTCTGTTTGAGATATGAACACAATCCTTGAGTAATCTCCTTTATTGTGTTTTTTTTTTAAATCTTAGTGCTCCTTGGCTTAAAGGGCAAGAACGTGTGGATTTATCAAATAGCCTTGAGGAAATATATATGTAAGTGACAGGTGATTTTAAAAAATTCTATTAGTGATACTGTTGTGGGCTTTTGTTGGAACTGTGATATTTTATGGCCTTTTCTAAACTTTTTGTAAGCTGCTTTTCCATTAACAAAAAGGATGCACTTGAGGAGTCCTTGAAAGATTGGTTATATAATATAATTTTATATATACATTTAATATGACTTCTACTTCAATACAGAAATACAGTAATATTTAGAACTAGTAGCTATGAAAACACTTAGCCAACTTGTGAAAGTAAATTCAGAGATACTGCTCTTGTTTTGATATTTTCATAGGCTATGTTGAATGAAACTGGTAACAGCAGAATCCTAAGCATAATTATTTATTAAACTACTGTATACTTTTTATGATAATTTTCTTGTATTAGGCCATAAGACTGACAGTCTATAGAAATACTGTATTTTTCACTCTTTCATTCATTCAGTAAGTACTATATGGCAGGCACTGTACTAGATCCCGGATACACATAGTTAGCAAAAACAGCAATGGTTCCTGTTTTCATGGCATTTAGAATTTACTGGTAGGAGAGGTATTACTTATAACAATGTAAAAATGAGTGTAGAACTGCAGCTGTGACAAGTTCTATAAAAGAGATATTAATATGCGGTACTAATTGAGTTTGAAACAAGGCCTGACCTAGTCTGGGAGGTTAGGGATGGCTCGTTTGATTTAAGAGCTGAGTTACTTAGGTGAAAGGAACTCTAGTGAAAGGCTACAGCATGTGCAAAGGCTCTGTGTCAAGGAGCTTGGCACATTTCAAGACACAAAGTAATAGTGGTATGAAGTGGGAAGAGAGAAGGGAGCATAGTGGGAAAATGACCAGGCAAAGTAGGCAGGGGAAGTCAAGCAAAGTCTTGTAGGCCATGGTAAGGATTTTTGTCTTTATCCTAAGACCCATGGGAAGCAGAGAAGGGTTTTAAGTGGTGTGATGCCATGATAAGATTTTCATTTTGAAAACAATGTTCTATTTCTTTGGGGAGAACTGATGGGAAGGAAGCAAGAATGGATGTATGGGACGTGGGTTAGGAGGCTAATGCAGTAGTCCAGAGAAGATATGACTGTGATTTGGATTACTTTTTTTTGTGTGTGTGAGGAAGACCAGCCCTGAGCTAATATCCGATGCCAATCCTCCTCTTTTTTTTTTTTTTTTTTTGCTGAGGAAGACTGGCCCTGGGCTAACATCCATGCCCCCTTTCCTCTACTTTATATGGGACGCCGCCACAGCATGGCTCAAGAAGCAGTGCGTCGGTGCGTCCCGGGATCCGAACCAGCAAACCCTGGGCCGCCGCAGCGGAGCACGCGCACTTAACTGCTTGCACCACTGGGCCAGCCCTGGATTACTTTTAATGAGATTATTAATTTAGTACAACAAATAATGTTCTGGACTATCAGTTTTACTGTAATCCAGAAACAGGTAAGGATTGTCTTATATGTTCTAGGTGGCCACCCCATTTGGTACAGTGAAAATACCCCTTTTGTATCCCTGGGATCTAGGTCAGGTTTCTTTTCCCCCCAAAATATTTAATTACAAAATGCTGTCTTCATGGAATCGATTCTATTCATTCTTTCCAAGAGGAACTATGGTCTTTCTTGAGTCCCAGGTTTACACTTGACTGTGGAAGTAACCGAGAACTGGACATATCATTAGGGGATGCCCCCATTGAGTGATTCTGTCATCCTCAGCATATAAGTATTATTTATTTCCTCAATTAAATGTTTTCTGATACCTGTCCCTAACTTTACTGGCCACTCCAGCTTTTGTGCCCCTAACAAACTTGTTTCTGTAATATTTTATTTATGCTTACTTACCAATTTATCTCCCCCTTTAAAGCAGAATAAGATAAATATACTGCAAATTTGTTCACCAGTGATGTCATAATTGTACATCTTATGGTCATTTTTCAGATCTTATCTTACTTGATCTCTGTAACTTTTAGTGATGTTGAACACTTCCTCTTTCTTGAAAATCTTCCCGCACTTGGCTTCCATCATGTTAATCGTCTTCATCCGTTAGATTTTTCTCCTGACTATGCACAATGTCCTGCACTCTGAAATGGCTTCCCATTTGCCTTTTCTCTATCCAAAAAGTCCCCCGTTTACTAAGGAGATACCCTGCCATAGGGCACAACTTGCTATTCTCCCTAACTAGTTCAGTTGAGCTATTTGAGAATTAGGAAGGGTCAGAAATTACAGAGCAGTTTGTTCTAAAGCTAGAATATGATTTATACCGTCTTGTTTATTAAAAGTGCTGGAATAAACAGTCCACTGGTATTATTTTCACACATGTAGTCTAAATAGAAATACACATTCTGCTTTTAAAAGTTTCTTGTGAAAAAACCTTTTAATATTTTTCCATAAAATTCCAGCAGGGGGCAGCAAGTGAAAAATATTATTGGTCTTCAGAAATTAAAAGTATTAGATAAATGTATGAATATAGTTCTTTTTTTAAAGTTGAGCTGTAATTTTCATTTTCTTTGCGATTCAAAGTTTATTAAGAATGTGCTGTTTATATAAAGATGTTAAGTTTTTTTTTTTTTTTTTTTTTGTGAGGAAGAGTGGCTCTGAGCTAACATCCATTGCCAATCCTCCTCTTTTTGCTGAGGAAGATTAGCCCTGAGCTAACATCTCTGCCCATCTTCCTCTATTTTGTATGTGGGACGTGGCCACAGCATGGCTTGATGAGCGGTGTATAGGTCCACACCCAGGATCCAAACCTGCGAGCCCCGGGCCGCCGAAGGAGAGTATGCGAATTCAGCCACTACACCACTGGGCGGCCCTGAATATAATTCTTAATGTTTATAATTCCATTGTGTTGTAAATATTGTAACACTATTGAGATTTTCATATTGATTTAGTATCATTTTGAATGCTAAATTTGATTTTTGCTTAGCTAAGAAGACGAACTATGGAGTTTCCTCTTATGTAGGGAGGTAAGAAGTCAGAAAATGAACAGTTTTCTCAGTAAACATTTAGTGAGTATCCCCTGTATGCTGGCACTCTGTTAGGAGTCTGGCATTTAAAAATTAAGATAGATGTGTACCAATTCAATATAGTGACATAATTACTAAGAGATGTGGACCAAGTGCTATAGTAGCATTCTTTAGAGGTTTTACTAACAAACTATCTCAGGACATTCAGATATGAAGTTGTAAAAGAGGGTTCCGTTGTGAAGGTGACCTTCGAGCGCAGTGTTTGCCAGGCTATCAAAGGGGGAGAGGTTTTCTCATAGAAGAAACTACATGAGCAAAATGATGTAGCTATGAAGCAATCTGGCATCTTCAGAGTTCAGCAAGTAGTTTAAGATGCCAGCTTTATAAATTGAGGTAGGTATATAAATTGAGGTAGGTGTAAGAAGGAAAAAGCTGTCAGCTGGGATAAGGAGTTTGGGCATTATCTTGTAGGCTCTAGGTGTTTTAGGCAGGGAAGTGATGTAGTCAGATTTGTGTGGCAGTGTAGAGGATGGATTCTGAGGAGTTTGAAGGAAGAGACACCATAGGAAGAACAGTCAGTAACTCAGGAGGGGTATGGTGGAGGCCTTTATTAATGCAACAAGAATGCAGATGGAGAAGAGTGGTTAGGTAAAGAAATACTTAAGAATATAAACTAGGATTTGGTGATTGATTAGATGAAGATTAATTTACTTATCATACCTTATTTTTGTTTAAATATTATACATATGGATATTTTGAATATATGAAAATAATAATACAAAAGATAAATAACAGATTTAAAAAACAACATTTTACTAATTGGTGTTGCTTAAGAGAAAATGAAAGGGATTAAAATTTTCTTTGTAGTATTTGAATTTACGATGGTCCATTTCAACAACATTTAATTTAAAATCCAAGAAAATGGTTATTTTAATTTCTCACAGCTCTTCACATTTTGATGTATCACGGTGTCTTAGATTGGAAAGTTGAAGAATGAGGCTTGTCAGAGCAGAAATTGCACTGGACAAAGTTAAACAGGCAAGGAAGACTTTATTCACGACTATTGCAGTAGGGGAGAGAGACCAGAACTCAGTCTGAACTCAACTTCCTGAAACAAAAGGCAGGAGGATTTTTTTTTCTTTATTGCGAAATTTTTGTTGTACATTATTGTTTGTCAGTCACCATATAAATGCATCCCTTTACCCCTTGTGCCCTCGCCCCACCCCCTGGCCCCTGGTAACCACTAAACAGTTCTCTCTGTCCATGTGTTAATATTCCATTTATGAGTCAAATCATGAGGTGTTTGTCTTTCTCTTTCTGGCTTATTTCACTTAATATAATACCCTCCAGGTCCATCCATGTTGTTGCAAATGGGATGATTTTGTCTTTTTTTATGGCTGAGTAGCATTCCATTGTATATATATACCACATCTTCTTTATCCACTCATCAGTCGAGGGACAGTTGGGTTGCTTCCATGTCTTGGCTATGGTGAATAATGCTGCGATGAACATAGGGGTGCGTAAGCCTCTTTGGATTGTTGATTTCAGGTTCGTTGGGTAGATACCCAGTAGTGGGATAGCTGGATTATAAGGTATTTCTATTTTTAATTTTTTGAGGAATCTCCGTACTGTTTTCCATAGAGTCTGTGACAGTTTGCATTCCCACCGGCAGTAAATTAGGGTTCCTGTTTCTCCACAGCCTCTCCAGCATTTGTTGTTTTTTGTCTTGGTGATTATAACCATTCTAACAGGTATAAGATGATATCTTAGTGTAGTTTTGATTTGCATTTCCCTGATGATTAGTGATCTTTTCATGTGCCTATTGGCCATCTGTATATCTTCTTTGGAGAAGTGTTTGTTCATTTCCAAAAGGCAGCAGGGTTTTTAAGGGCTGGGATGAGCTAGTAGAAAAGTGCTAGAGGATGTTGGGAGGTTGATCAATGAGATGTGTCCAGCACATTTAGTTATTTCCTGAGTTTGCAAATGTGTTTCTCTGTGATTAGGCCTTCTGTGTTTGCTAATTGTTGCTCATCAGAAGTGAGGCTCCTACGCTCCCCAGAGATTGAGAGATAAGGGTGCTGTCTTCCTTGATGATTACATTTCAAAATGATGGCTCCCAGGTCCTTGAGGAAGACATTCCTAGGTTGTAAAACTGACAAGAGTCTTCTAAAAAGATGTCCATAATCTCAAAGGAGCAAAGAAAGAATTTATAATAAGTTTTCTAAAGAAAATGTTCTAAGAAAAGGGAGATCAGGGCCTATAGTCAGGAAGTTCTGCCTGTCTGAAGTTTAATTGAGCTGAGGTTAAGGCGGTCTTGGTCTGGAGTCAGTTTTTGAAATAGTGTGACTTCTTTGAGTCTGTTTTCTCGTCTGTAACATGAGGATAATAGAATAATATCATTGTAAGGATTAAATGACACAATTCACGTAATGTACTTTAGCAGCTCTTATTTTTGTTATTAAAACAATTGTCTCATCTACTTTTGTCATTTTGAAAATGAGATGACAGAAACTCAGAGAGATCGAGTAATTTGTCTAAGGTCACACAATTTAGTAGTGCATTTTAGTGAGTATCTTTACTCTTAAATCAACAAATACAAATACTAGAAAATTAAAGATACAAAAATTAGAACCACAAGTAAAATTAGAGTCACTTGAGGTTGTTTTGATAGTTCTGAATTGGATAATAGTTAAGTATAGTTACTCACAAAGTATCTGAACTAAAATATCCGTTTTTAATCCAAGTTGGTGTTTTATTTAACTTGAAACAAATTTTATTTCAGACTGTTTTTTGTGTGTGTGAGGAAGATCAGCCCTGAGCTAACATCCATGCTAATCCTCTTCTTTTTTTTTTTTGCTGAGGAAGACCAGCTCTGAGCTAACATCTATTGCCAATCCTCCTCGTTGTTTTTTTCCCCGCCAAAGCCCCATTAGATAGTTGTGTGTCATAGTTGCACATCCTTCTAGTTGCTGTACGTGGGACGTGGCCTCAGCATGGCCAGAGAAGTGGTGCGTCAGTGCGTGCCCGGGATCCGAACAGGGCTGCCGGTAGCAGAGCGTGCGCACTTAACTGCTAAGCCACGGGGCCGGCCCCTCAGACTTTTTATATTTAGCTACTTTACCATGTTTAATTTCATAAATAAAAGCTTAGCATGTCATTCTATAATGAGTAGTTCTCACATTTTGCACCCAAGTCCTTAGGATTCAGCGCTCTTCCTCCAGGACCATTGGGGGAGGGAAAGAGAGACACAGCGGGGAGGACTCACAGCTTTTGTCTGTTAATTTGTTTCTGATTCTGTGAGAGATTTCATTATAGTGATGGCAAAAGTTTGAAAACCACCAAATCCTAGTGGATAGTTAAAAGATATGAACAAACTATTGTCACAAGAGAAAACACAAATGCAGCGGTAATAACAACAACAAATTTTAAAAACCCCACTATCAGTAATAGAATTTTGGGGTCCAAGGGAAAGAATAATCTTCATTTTCTATAGGAAACCTTTCACACCACTACAACTCTCTCTTACTGGATTTCAGTAAGTCTTGTCAAATACCAGAGAAGAAGGAAGCATTCAATAAATGATGTTGGGCAGAAGTGCTCTTGTATATTCTGCAGGAAGCCACGGGCCAGAGGAGAGGAGATTTGGAGTTAAGGTTTAATTTCTTTGTTATTTGGAAAAATTACTTATTAATTGTGAAAATTCTTCCAAGGTGCTCCCCCCACCCCCCCACAAAACAACAATAACAAATCTGAATGTGAACATATATTCACAGAGGGATGATTTTCCTATCTCAAAGGGTGGTTGTAAGGATTAAATGAGGTAACAAAGCATTGTCTACGTGTCTTCTGTATAGTAGGTGTTCAGTAACCACTAGATGTTACTGTTACTACTTTTGGTGATGATGATGTGAGGAATTCAATGGGATGAGATTAAGGGATGGAGACAATTATATACAAAACCTTAAATTTGTCAGGATAATGATTACAGACACTGAAATAAGGGACCCAGTTTTCTCATTCACTACCATACCCCCAGGGCTGCACGTAGTACTTGGTGTATAGGAGAGGCCCTTAAAGATTTGTCGAGTGAATTAAGATAGTTTCACTTGAAAAGAAACGACTCGTGAAGTAAGACGAGATGCTCTAAATCTCTGTTTTATAGATGAGGTAACTGAGACTCAGAGTTCAAGTGGTTTACTTGCCTAAGGGTGTAGCTGGTTGATAGGAAAGCAAAACGCAGTGGGCCACCTGAGCTTTGGAGTAAGTCTGTCTTCACATTCTGGGTCTGGGCTTCTTACTGCTTATAAGACTGTCTTAGACAAGTCAATTGATCTCTCTAGGTCTGTTTTCTCATTTGTACCATGGGGAAATAATATGTACTTCATTAGACAATTGTGAGCATTAAATGTGTTGATATGTATAATGTACTTTGGGCTTAGTGTGTACTCAATACATTTTACCTTCTCTGTCTCTATACCTCTTAAGTCTTTTATTGAGAAGAGAGGATGGGAGTGGGAATTGTTTAAAAGAAACTCTACCAACATTCTCAATTTTTAAAAACCTTTCTGGTTGACTTTTGCTCTCTCTAAAAAGACAGGTTACCAAAGAACACAGAGGATCGTTTTAGTGCTAAGGAATTATGGGTGAGATGGGGAGGATTTGCCGGTATAGGATTATTTGAGAACACTTTTGTTTTCTTCTGTATGCTTGTTTTGAAAGTTTCCTTTGGTGGGTGCTGATGCGGTGATAAAGGGAGATAAATGGTTTCAAGAGGAACTTTTAGAGGAAGGAGGTAAGGTGTTGTTCTGAAGTAGTGTGGTGATTTCTTTAAACACACTTACTAAAACTTATCTAAAATTAGTGTCATTCCCTAAAGAGTAGACACTTGGGCCTTTATTTTATTGCTGTTGCCATCATTTAACATAACTTGATAGACATGAACCATGACATGTTCTTTTTCTCAGTGATCCTTTGAGATGGATTTAATTATCTGAGGCAGGCAGACATTATTTGGAACCAAAATGAATCAGTTTGGGCAATAGAATATTTTAGTCAAAAACAAAATATGAATATAAAGTTGTTTCATTGATTGTCTTTCAAGTCTTGTCAGTTGGCTGTCTAAGGGAGTTCCTCAAATGCTTTGCATTCTTCTTTGTTGAAATAAGTATACCAAATAAGTGGTTTGAAATTGTTCGAAAAGTTTAGAAAAGCAAGCAATGGTTGGACATGAGTTCTGAAACTGTATCCACTGATAGAAACTAAATCGCATTTATATCTATTAAATTCATCCAGTTTAAGTTTAGAAATTTTTTCCCCCTTTGATTGCAATTCCGCTTATTTTAAATAAGCAATGTTAATTTTGCAGCCAGTTAGAATTTTTAATGTTGATATAAACAATCTATGTTAAATACTCATCCACAGATGTTAGTAAAACTCTTGTTTTTAATAAATTCTTTTTTAAAAGGCCTGGCTAGATTGCTTGTAATTTCTTAGATTATAAATGTATTTGTATTTTCTTGAATTGGAGAAGGAAATTTTTTTAAATAACAAGTTTTTCCCCTTGAATTTTGTTTAGGCAGAATATTGGTGAAAGTATTCTTTACCTGTGGGTGGAGAAAATAAGAGATGTTCTAATACAAAAATCTCAGATGACAGATCCAGGTAGGATTGAAAAATATTATCAGTGGTCTTTTAACTTACGGTAACTAAAATTTCATGTAGATATTCTAATTGAAATTTTTAATGAAAATATTCTGTTTTATGGTTTTGTATATGATAAAATATAAGTTTCTCTGGAAAGTTCATTTACTCACGTAATTAATTTTCTTTCTGTAAGCTTTAGCGTCTTTGGTTTCATATTATACTCTTATAGAAATAGAATTTTATGGTTAAAGAACTTGGGTCAAAAATCTCTGTTTTCTTTGACTATTGTTAAGGTAATACGAACCATGTAACATTCTTCATGAATTATTGAACTATGTAAGTTAGGCATTAGCTTCAAATGAATGTAGTGTTTATAGAAAAAGAACTTTGGAAAACACACTGAGTGACATTTAGGATATAAAAATTGACTTTGAAAATTGATTTTTTAAATTGAAATGTAATTCACATACTATAATTAGTCATCCTTTAAAAATGTATAATTCACTGGTTTTTAGTATATTCCAAAGTTGTGCAACCGTCAACACTAACTAATTTTAGGACATTTGAAAATTGAAGTTTGCTGTATTATTATTATTATTCGTTTATTGAATCATTAAGTATATGACAACATGGAAATTTCTGATCTTTCCTATTTACTTTGCTAGTCTTTGTTCCACTTACCACAGAGGCCTTTTAGAGAAGAAAATAACTCTAACCCAATTTTATTTCCAAATAGAGTTTTATTGTTATCACTGAGAGTTATTTTCAATTTGGGAAAAAGAGGATTTAAAAAAACCCAATAGCTTATTTACTAATTTTTCAGAAGGTTATTTACAGGGAACCAATTATTTAGGACTCCCTTAACAAAATCAGTATATATTTAAAGTTGATAGTAGTATATATTTTATTTTTCTATAGAAGCAAATGTTTTTACTGCTTCCATTAAAATCAAAGAGATAAATGGTATGAAGATATTCTGTCCATGTAACAATCTTTCTTGAAATATTTTCCTTAACTTTTTATGATCCATGTTCTGATTTTGCAGCTCTTCAGGGCATCTATGAGAAAAGTCTCAAAACAAAATGATTTTTGCCAGTCCACCATTCTAGAGTGTGGGACAATTGGAAAAAATAGAATGTATGCCAGTAAAAATTTAAGACTTCAAAAAGTTTGGGATCACTCAACTCATAGGAAATTTTAAAAATTATTGATCTTAAAAATGATATTTTTCCTTTCCCACCTATATCCATAATCTAGTTTACTATATCTGTAATTTAGTTTAGCCACTCTTCAAATTTTAGCGTTACTGATTTGTTTTATACATTTTTAGAAATTTTATTTGGAATTTTTTAATCAAAAATTATTTTTGTAGACTTCATATTAAAATGGAAGGATTAATAATTCTGAAGAACTGGTAAGAGTACCAGCTAGTGATCAGGATATCTCATGAGAATTTTTCTTCCTAGGGTACCCACTTGACAAGTAATTTATTTTGATTTTACTGTTATCTTCAGTATAAATTTACTCTTTATTATTTCATAATGTTTTTTCTACTATAGAAATATTAAATTTTGAAATAATTATATACAGCTATTTACAATTTTTAAAAATTCTGAACTGATTTTAGACTTACAGAAAAGTTGCAAAAATAGTACAAAGACCTCTCTTATATCCCTCACCCTGTTTCCCCTAGTATCATCTTACATAACCATAGTATAATTATCAAGAACAGGAAAATAACGTAGATATAATGTTAAATGAACTAAAGAGCTTATTTGAATTTCACTAATTTTTCCACTCATGCCCTTTCTGCTGTTGTATGATCCTGACCAGGATTCTACATTGCATTTAGTTGTTATTTCTCCTTAACTCTCTTCTAGTCTGTAAATAGTTCCTCAGTCTTTCCTTGACTTTTATGACCTGACACTTTTAAAGAATACTAATCAACTATTTTGTAGAATGTCCCTCAATTTGGATTTGTCCATTGTTTTCTCATGATTGAAGTAAGATTAGGCATTTTGGCAAGAATACCATAAAAATGATAGTGTGTCCTTCACAGTGCATTATATCAGGAGCTCATGATATTAATATGCTTTACTATTGGTGATGTTTACCTTGATCCCTTGGTTAAGATGGTATCTGCCAGATGTCTCCATGGTAAAGTTACTGTATTAGTCAAGGTTCTCCAGAGAAACAAAACCAGTAGGATATGCATGTATTATATATCTGTGTGAAAGTGTGTGTATTTATAAAGTGAGATAGAGAAGAAGGGAGGAGGGACGGAGGAGGAGAAGAGAGAGAGAGGGAGAGATTGATTTATTTTAAGGAATTGGCTCACGAGATTGAGACTGTCAAGGCTGCTGAGTCCAAAATCTACAAGGTAAGTTGGCAGGCTGGAGACCTAGGGAAGAATTGGTGTCGGAGCTCAAATCTGAAAGCTCGTTGCTGGCAGAATTCCCTTGTCCTCTGGGGAGGTCAGTCTTTTTTCTGTTAATACCTTAATAGGATGAGGCTCACTCACATTATGGAGGGCAATCTGCTTTACTCAGAGTCAACTGATTTGAATGTGAATTCCATCCAAGAAATAGCTTTACAGAAATATCTATAATAGTGTTGCCCAAATATCTGAGTACTGAGGCCTAGCCAAGTTAACATATAAAATTAACCATCACGGTTAACTATCTTTCCCTTTGTAGTTGATAAGTTTCTTGGGGGAGATACTTTGAGGCTGTGCTAATATCCTATTCTTACTTAAACTTTCACTCAGTAATTTTAGAATCCATTAGTGTATCTTGTCAACAAATTTATCACTGTAGTGTTTGCCTAACAGTGATTCTTATTCTTTCCTTCTACATTTGTTAATCGGAATTCTGTTGCGAGGAAGAGATGTCTGTTCTCCCTATTTATTTATTTGATTATTTATTTACATCTGTATAAACATATATATATTGTTTTATTCCGTGAGTTAAAATTCAATATTATCATTATTTTTTTTGCTCAAATTGTTCGAGGTTTGGCCTTTAGGAGCTCTTTCAGGTAGGGTCCTGTGTTCCTTTTATAAGTGCCCATCTTTTTCTGAGCATTTCTTTACTCTCTGGAATTACAAGATGTTCCAGGCTCATTTTGTATTTTCCTTCCTCCAACTCGGAATCAACCACTTCTTCTAGAAACCCTGGTTCCTTCTATTGAAGAATGGTGTTTAGAGACCAAGACCAATGGTTTTTTTAAGTGTCATTTCTTACTGTCTTCATAGATCACTCATAATGTCTCATATCCACATAGGTCCAGACGTAAAGAAGAAAACTGAAAAGGAAGATGTTGAATGTGAAGATGATCTCATTTTAGCATATCAACCAGAAAATCCAGTTAAAGCATTGGACTTTGATATCATTGCAAATCGAACAGGTATAATGTTACTGATGTATTTCTTTTGAGGAAAGTGGGATGGTAATATTATGTATTGTTTTTGGAATGGTATAGAAATTTAGTAAACTCTCACATGTTAGGAAATAGTTATGAATTTGCAGAGAATTGAATTGTTTTTCCTGCCTGCTGGCTATTTTAGTGTTCGGTAGGTCTATTAGAATGGTGAGGAAAAATAGAAATTTACTTTTTTTTTTTTTCCCTACTTGGTAGAGTTTTGAATTAGTGGAGGGGGAAATTGAAACTAAGAAAAGCTGTATTAGTGTTTTCAATTCACATCCTGTTTTTATGTTTCTGTTTTGAAATCCTCGTCTGTCTTCTGATGTCTCTGAGTTAAATTTTAGTCTGGGCTCACAAATATAATAATTGAAAGTGCAGCCACTGAAATAAAGCTAGTAAAATGCCTTTAAGATTTTCGTTTTTGCTCAAGCAGATTTGTTCCATAATTAAGTAGTATTCAACTTGTAAATAGGTCGATGTGATAAATCAGTTCTGTCTTTATCAGAAACTGTGTTCCATTTTAGTATTTTAAATTTTTGAAAGATGTCATCAGTTTGCTGAAGTCTCGTACAAAAACCTGATAAACCAGAGGGAACATTGGTTCTCTTTGAAGGTAAGGAGTTTCCTGTGCCATGTTATAGTAGTTTTTAATCAGTATTATGAAGGTTTAAAGTTCTTGCATGGTGTCTCAGGAAGAGTGGAAGGGGCGAATAGAGAGGAAGTGAAAGAGTGGAGAAGATCAAGGACTCCTACCCTTGCTTCCATCTAAGTAGCTCTCATTTTATTCATTTATGTATTTGTGGATTTGGCATAAGATTTCTTTTGGGAAACAGGATCCACTATTAAAGGAAAAAGTGAAAATCACAGTCATAATAGATAGCATCTAGTTCATATTGACCTTAGTTCTGTACTAGTACAGTGGTCACAATCTGTTCAAGAAGAGGACACCATCGGGGGAAGGTAAAACATCCTGCATAAACCTGGTTTCTTGTCCTAGTCCTGCCACAAACCAGTGCACTGATTTTTGGCAAGTTGTTTAAAGCTCTCCAGAAATACTTTTACATGTGTTAGTTGAAGTATTTCATCAATTGTAAGGCAAGCTGACTTGGTAAGATTCAACAGATTAGTGAATAGAAATAGGAAAAAATTTTAATTCTTTTTTCCTGAATAACTTTTCATACTAAATGAGGCAGGTGCAGCAGCCAGGATGGTTGGTCATTTTCTCAACATAGTTAAGGGTAAATGAGTGGTTCTTAAACTTGTTTAAGAGGCAGAATAACTGAAAATCATGATACTCTATGGAATATCAATTTGGTGTATTATTGATATGTTTAATTCAATCCTGTGAAGTAGGAACAGTTTTATTAGCAGAAGACATTACGCTAGTCCCCCCCTTATCCACGGGGAATATGTTCAGGACCCCCAGTGGATACCTGAAACTGCAGATAGTAGCAAACCCTATATATACTATGTTTTTTCCTATACATACATACCTATGATAAAGTTTAATTGATAAATTAGGCACAGTAAGAGGTTAACAACAATAACTAATAATAAAGTTGGCTTTGGGTTCTTATTAAGTAAAATAAGAGGTACTTGAACACAAGCACTGTGATACCGTGACAGTCGATCTGATGACTTGAGACAGCTACCAAGTGCCTAATGGGCGGGTAGCATATACAGGATGGATCTGCTGGACAAAGGGATGATTCACCTCCCGGGCGGGATCGTGCAAGATTTCATCACACTTCTCAAAACGGTGTGCAATTTGAAACTTATGAGTTGTTTATTCCTGGAATTTTCCATTTGATATTTTCAGACCGCAGTTGACCCCAGGTAACTGAAACCACAGAAAGCAAAACTGCAGATAAGGAAGGACTACTGTATATTACAGCAATACAAAATAAAGTCATAGGTTTCCCAACCCAGAGGTCCATCAACAGTAGAATGGATAAGTAAGTTAAGGTATATTAGCAGCTGTCAATCTTTTTGGTCTCAGGACCCCTTTATATTCTTAAAAATTAGATATTGTACCAACTTAGACTACTGCAATAGTCCAGGATTTGAGTCCCAACCCACCACTGCTATGGGGTGACCTTGGCAGGTGGAAATCATTTATAAGTCAAGTAGTTTTATTTTACCTACAATATATTTGGAAACTTGTACTTGAAATTATAACTCAATTTTAATAGACAACTATTAATGGCTATTTGGGTTGATTTGCAATATAATTTACATCTTTTTTCCCAGCTTCCCTCTCCCCTGCCCACACCATTGCCAAATTTTCTTGAATGTAAGAATTTTAAAAATAAAAGTAATATCATTCTTTAAATTTATAGAAATGGAAGAATTACCTCCAATTGATCATGGCGTTCCTATTACAGACCGAAGAAGTACTTTTCAGGCACACTTGGCTCCAGTAGTTTGTCCCAAACAGGTAAAGTTGTTGTGTTCAGCTCACTTTGATGTTGTTTTACCAAAGTAATTCAAGTAAATGGTTTTGCAATAATATCCTTATTTTTACTATTATGTTTAATTTTCATGTAAGATAAAAATTATTTATTCATTTTCCTATGCTGAAATTACCATGAATCATGGAAGATTTTTTTCTGTTTGTTACTGCTTTCTAAACTCTTATTAGGGCTTAGCCATCTAAAGGATTTTCAAACAAGAAAAACCCACTGTGGTGGTGTAGAAAATTACGATGCTTAATAGCTTGTTAAAAAGAATTATTTGTCCTATCTCATGGGAGTTCTATAAAACCAAGTCTGTTCCATTGTTACCCAATTAAGGAGACAGTGGACAGACTGGCTTAGCTGAGTTTTCCTGTCCTGGATTCCTTTTTCTTTCTGCTTCCTGATCTTAGGTGACCTGATTGCCACCCAAGGATATCAAATGGGAGACTTTTTAGTCAAAAACTGTATTCCCAAGGGCCAGCCTGGTGGCGTACTGGTGAAGTTCGCACGCTCTGCTTCCGCAGCCCGGGGTTTGTGGGGTTGGATCCCTGGTGCGGACCTATGCACCACTTATCAAGCCATGCTGTGGCAGGCGTCTTTATCACATATAAAGTAGAGGAAGATGGGCACAGATGTTAGCCCAGGGCAAATCTTCCTCAGTAAAAAGAGGAGGATTGGCAACAGATGTTAGCTCGGGGCTAATCTTCCTTACCAAAAAACAAAAAACAAAACTGTATTCCTAGTCTTTGTCACTAGAATCATTTTCTTCTTCCTTGCTGCTATAATCTAGCCTATTTTAAACTTGATTGATGTAAGAGACAATTTCACTACTACCTATAAAGTTAAATTAACAACAAAAATAGTCTCATTAACTTAGCATAGGTTTTTAGCATTAGTCTCTCCCCTTTGGTCTCTACAGCTACTGTACCCTCTAAGCTCTTCTAAAGCCCTGACCTATAGGGATACAATGCTTGGTACCAGGCTGCCTTTCACTCTCTTAGGCTCTAGAAGAGGAATTTCTTTTCTGCAGTGACTTGTGGTCAAGATAACACCTTTTGGTGCAGGCTTCTGGGCTTTTCTCTCAGGAACCATATTTTGTCCTTGGCTGTTGCTCATAATCTTGTTGCCAGGGTCCTCCTTAGACATTCTATTCTAAATCTGTTCGTCCTGGATCCTCTTTCTGTTTCTGATTGTAGTCACTTAGACTTACAAGATTGTAATTTGTGAGAACTGAAATAAATCTTAGAGGTCACTTTCTACTTTATTTTATTGATCAGGAATCTGAGAACCTGAAAGTTTAAAAAATGATAAACATGGGGCCGGCCCTGTGGCTTAGCAGTTAAGTGCGCACGCTCCGCTACTGGCGGCCCGGGTTCGGATCCCGGGTGCGCACTGACGCACTGCTTCTCCGGCCATGGTGAGGCCGCGTCCCACATACAGCAACTAGAAGGATGTGCAACTATGACATACAACTATCTGCTGGGGCTTTGGGGAAAAAAAGGAGGAGGATTGGCAGTGAATGTTAGCTCAGAGCCAGTCTTCCTCAGCAAAAAGAGGAGGATTAGCATGGATATTAGCTCAGGGCTGATCTTCCTCACGCACACAAAAAAATGATAAACACAAGATTGTACAATTTCTGATCCAAATTGGTCTCCCTGACTCCAGCTCAGTTTTCCCTACCTCCAGTATTTCTTCAATATTTCTTCCATACTGCTTGCCAGTTACCTTTCTGAAAGATCTGACCACCTGTTACTGCCCCCCCACATAATCTTTGCTGATTTCCACGGTCTACAAAGAAAAATCTAAACTTGTTATACCTTCCTGATACATCTTCTGTCATCTTCTCATTTGTACTATAAGTTACACCTACGTAAAACTGTTGGTCACTTCCCGAACCCTTTTCTTTTATGTCCCTGCTAGGGCTGTCAGATAAAATACAGGTTACCTAGTTAAATTGGAATTTCTAGTAAACGTTATTGCATGAGACATACTTATAATAAAAAATTATTTTTTGTTTGTCTGAAATTCCAGTTTAACTGAGCATCCTGTATTTTTATTTCCTAAATCTGTTACATTTACACATGCCATTTCCTGTTAATGGAGTGGCTTCTTCCTGCCCCATCCCACTCTTCCCTTTGATGCAGAAGAATTGCTGCTTATCTTTCAAGGCCTGGTTCATGTTACCTCCTCTATGAACCTTACATGATGGCCAGAAAGAGTCTTTTAACATTTGGAACATAACTATTGCTGTGCATCTATCACACTGGACACATAAATTTGGTAAGTTTTCAGGACTCATTTTTAGAAATTCTCATATTTGTACTTAAAATTCTCTACCCGGGCAAAAAATTTTTGTATACAAGTACCTTAGACATGGTTAGTGCTCAAATATTTATTGATGATTGGTGGCCCAAAATACTAGATCTATCATTTTTATACCAATTAAAGGTACCAGTGTTTGCACCTAAAATGGGGAGAAACTCTGAAAGTGGCTTTTTTAGAGTGCGGTAGTTTCTTTAAATAACTATTTCAGTACAACAGTATTTATATCAATATGCTTTAAGATATTTCTCTAGCATTTATTTACAGAGCAAATAGTATACATTAGTTTATTTATATTACTGCTCTTTTTAAGGTGAAAATGGTTCTTGCCAAATTGTATGAGAATAAGAAAATAGCTAGTGCAACCCACAACATCTATGCGTACCGGTGAGTGATCATCACAATTTTAGGACTGTGCAATTTATAAAAAGTGGGGGAAACTGATGCATGATTTAAAAAAATAGTGACTATTGGGGCCAGCCTGGTGGTGTAGTGATTAAGTTCACGTGCTCCACTCCGGCAGCCCAGGGTTTGCGGGTTTGGACTCCAGGCACAGACCTACACACCGCGTATCAAGCCACACTGTGGCAGGCGTCCCACATATAAGGTAGAGGAAGATGGGCACAAATGTTAGCCCAGGGCCAATCTTCCTCAGCAAAAAGAGGAGGATTGGCAACGGATGTTAGCTCAGGGTTAATCTTCCTCGCCAAAAAAAAAAATTGTATTTTTCCATTATAAAAGTAATAATCATGTGTAGAATATTTGAAAACTGCAGAAAAGAAAGAAAAGAATCAGGGGAAATCAGCCATTTTCAGCCTTTAAATGTAACTGATAATATTTTGATATATTTTCTTTCTGTCTTTTCTATGCAAAGTTTATTTTTGTAATGCTTTACCCTGGTATCATATGTTTTTTTAATTTAACAAAAGCATTTTTTCATTTTGTTATAATTGCTTCATAAGCGTTTTTTTTTCTTTTTTTTGTGAGGAAGATTGGCCCTGAGCTAACATCCAATGCTAATCCTCCTCTTTTTGCTGAGGAAGATTGGCCCTGGGCTAACATCTGTGCTCATCTTGCTCTACTTTATATGGGACACCACCACAGTGTGGCTTGGTAAGTGGTGAATAGGTCCGTGCCCAGGATCCGGACCTGCAAGCCCCGGGCTGCTGAAGCGGAGCGTGTGAACTTAACCACTGCGCCACCAGCATGGCCCCTATATGCATTATTTTAATGGCGGTGTAGTATTTGTTTGAGGCTCCATACCATAATTTATTTAACCATTTCCTTTTTGTTTTAGTTTTTTATATTTTTCAGTATTGTAAAGAATAGTGCCATGAACTCTTTGTGTACATTTTAGATTATTTCCTCAGGATCGGTTCTGATTGCTTCAGATTCTTTTTTGAAATGAAATGGCATATAATTAAAAAGGAAGAAAGAATAGATTCCTAGAAGTGAATTATTAAAAAAGTCTGGATATTTTTGAAACTGTTGATATTGCCAGATTTTTTCCAAAGTTTTTCTTTTAAACCAATTTATGCTCCCATTAGCAGTGAATTGAGTGCTTCTTTTACAACATGGCTTTTAGTTTTGACTACTAAGGTTTTATACAAATCTTTGGTGATTTATTAGTAAAGAGATGAAGGGTATATTTTTAAATATGCAAATTAGTACAGACTTAAAAGAATATAGGTTAGGACTGCAGTAAATCAGAATATAGACATAGAGATTTGGTGTAAATTTGAAATGTGATTGACACTATTTGTAAAATCTAGGTTATCTGAAACTCAACTCAAAAACAACCATCACTTTGGATAGGTGAGATTTTAATATTACTAAGTCACATCCCTTTAAGTGACAAAACTTACAAAAAACTGTTTGGTATATAATTCCCCACTTAGTAGAGTATCACAAGATAGAATTTTGATGTTTTCTTAGTAAGTTAGGGTCATCAATATAAAAATGAGGGATTAGACTGTGCTTGTTCTCAGTGATTAGAATGTGCTGGAAAAGTATTAATAGTTACCATTCATTTATCCCGTGTGTTTATTGCCTGCCTGCTCTGTGGCAAGCACTTTACGAAAGTTAATTCTGATTATTTCAGCAACTCTGCTACTGTAAAAATGTTAACGTTTTCAAGGTCACGTAGTTGTTAAGTGGTAGAATTTGGTAGTGAATTTGGTAATCTAATTTCATTTATCTCTGTTTTATTCCTACATGGCCATGTGGCTGCACATTCAACAATTGCTGTACATAATGTTGCTCTTAAGTTATTAAAAAGTTAACTAATGTGCCAGATATCCTATTTCAGGCCCCAGATTTTTGGGTTAAGTTCTTGTGAGTATTTTTGTATTTTTACATATCAATAGGTGATCAGTTGTCACTTCTCACAAATGTCAGCATGACTATATGTAGCAGCCCCTCTACCTCACATCCTTACATAATTGACTGTTTGGAATGAAAGAGCTTAGCTTGTCAGAATTGTGTGTCAGATAAGACTAAAAAGGCACAAAGTGGAGGCTTGAAGGACCCCACTGAGATTAAAAAAATGACCTTTATTTGGTATTTGGACTTTGTGTTGTGTATTTTGAGCGCCTAGGGTCCCTTTAAGGTTACTTCCTGGTTCTGGGGCTGTGTTCCCACTTTGGAGTTATGGGGCGCTCTTCAGGCTGCTGGGACACACAGCTATTGGATGCTGCATCATTATCTTCCTGGCATGTGAGGAAAGCGTTAGTGAAAATGTCCATGGTGTTTGGTTTTTTTTTAAACCTAATGGTACTGATTTATGTAGTCAAATTTTCTTCATTTGTTCCGTAAAGTTATGGTGTTAGATTATTATTACAAGCCTAATATAAAACCAACCCCTCACTCCTTTTTGCCTTAAATTTGACATATAAAATTTTGCTTAATGGTGCTAACTTTCTTTTCTTCACATGAGGTCAACTAAATAAGAGTAGAGCCTGGTCATAGTAGGTGGGCAGTAAATATTGAGTGAATGAATAGATGGATTTGTAGATGGAAGGATGAATGAGGGGATGAATAAGATTGCTATAATAAAATTAATATAATTTAGTTAGGTGTATAGATAAGGTACTATCTGGCTTTTTACAGTGGCAGCTGGAGAAATATCTGCTACGTTTGTCTAGTCCTAGATGGTACCATTTTTAGGGGCCTAAGAAATCCAGTAGATGGCATACCTTAACTGGCACTGTTTTCTGTTTCATACTTATTTGCCAAGCTTATTTTACTATTATGTAGCCCTACATTATTCCAAATGCTAACTTTGTAGATAATTTAAATGGGTAAAAATACCATGATTTTTCTCTGATATTGACAGCTATCCAGGGGGAAAATTATAGAGAAAAATAAATCTTACAACTCTTACTCAGAATGGGGAAGATAGAGAAATGCTTGATGGCTACAATAAGATGTGAAAAAAGTATAAAATATTAACTTATGTTGGTTTTATCACCTCCATCTTTTTAATATACTTTTTATCTATTTCAGTAGATCTTAGGCTCTTTGAAGACAGGAGTACGCTACTTCTTTTCTTTTATGTCATTTCATAGTGCCTATTGGATATTATGCTTCTATATGGTATATTCTCAGTAAATGTTTTTCAGTGACTACTCTCTATAATCTCATAGCTTCAAGGTTAAATGAAGCTTGGGAAGTGTCAGATGTGTAAACTCACCTTCCCATAATCGTAGCATTTCTGATTTTTAAGGAGGCACCCTTGGTTCTTATATAAATATAAAAATATATTTATATATAAATATGTAAATAATATTTATTATATATTATATAAATGTAAAAAATGAAGCATACTGGATAGTAAATCAAAGTATATCTAATATATAGTTCAAGAAGGATTTTTTTAAACAAATATACTGATTTTGGAAGTAAATTGATCACAATAAGTATGAAGGAGTAACTTTTATTAGTATTTTGAGGTTTGAAATTGTAACACTGTTATATGTATTTCTAGAATATATTGTGAGGATAAACAGACCTTCTTACAGGACTGTGAGGATGATGGGGAAACAGCAGCTGGTGGGCGTCTTCTCCATCTCATGGAGGTAAGTGTAAGTTAAACCCTGTTAATCCTGTTCTGTGAGCCATAAAATTTCTCAACAAAACAGAGCTCCATTTAGGAATGAGTAAATTGGTGAGACTATATAACGTGAGATATATTTGGTTTAATTAGTAGTTAATTTTTAAACAGTGAGAGAAAATTTTAACCACTGGATATGGGGCAGAAAGCAAAGGGTTAATAACAAGTACTGTGCTTTCAAGCTCTTTCAGACGTAGACAATAGAAGATTGTCTTCAGCTCTGGAAAAACTTCTTTTTGTTTTTTGACAATTTCCTCCACTCTATTTTCTCTGTTCTGTCTTCGTGAAACTCCTGTTAGTTGGATAGTGGACCTTCTAGATAGATCCAGAATGTTTCTTTTTTATTAAGTTGTCCATCTCATTGCCTTACGTTCTGAGACATTTTCTTGACTGTCTTCCAAAATTTCTATTGAATTAAAAATTTTCTTTAGCAACCATGTATTTAATTTTCAAGAATTCTTTCTTGTTCTCTGTTTTTCCTTTTTCATAGTGTGCTGTTCTGGTTTTATGGATGCAGTATCTTCTGAAATTTCTCTGAGTATATTAATTAGAGTTTCTTTTTTTTAAGATGTTCTCTCCCTTAAATTTTTCCTGGTCCATTTTAGTTTGTTTATCCTGTCCTTTCTCTTTCATGCTGCTGGATTTTCTTCATATGTCTGGTGATCATTGATTGCCCATTAATTGTAAGAATGGATTGGTTTTTTCCCCAAGGTAGTTGCTATAGTTTCTTCTGCTATTCTATGTGGAAGTTTGTTTTCTAACCAGGCCATTCCCTCGATAGGAACTCTGTGTGTGGGTCAGGCCTATAGACTGGTGGGCTTCACGTTAAGGGCAGCATTTGACAAATGTCAAACTGAAGAAGACCTTACTGGTAGGCACCAGTGATTATTCATGCAGCCCCATTGTCTCTAGTAGTTTATTCAGAAGCAGATTTGGTGGTGTTATTTGGCCCAGGGGTAAAAGGCTGCCTAAACTGAGCTATTCTGGTTGAAGTCACCAAGAACTGGAATCCTACCTGCATGATCTCCCCTTCACTCTTCCCCATTGCCCCAAAGTTTGGAATTTGAGGACAGTGTGGCACACAGTGTTTGTTTTCCAAATTCACTTCTCATTCTCATATTCTATCCCCTGAATTGTTAGTAGTCTCACTCTGCTCGCTCATATGTTTCTCCCATTAAAGTTATGGGGAAATTTTATGTGCGATTTTATATATGGGTTATTTCATTCTCCTTTAAAACTCACATGTGTACCTGTCTATATGTGTATCTAATTATGCTTCTGAAAATAACAGATTTTGAACGTGAGAAATGTCATGGTGGTAGTATCACGCTGGTTTGGAGGGATTCTGCTAGGACCAGATCGCTTTAAACATATCAACAACTGTGCCAGAAACATACTAGTGGAGAAGAACTACATAAATTCACCAGTAAGTCGTTATTGAAATTATGTCTAGAGAGTTTCTCACCAGTGCGTGTGAAATTAAAAAGAAAAAAAGACAGACAAATGAGAATGAGTAAGAGTGATACAGAGTGGGGCCAAAATACCATCGTTCCCAAAGTGTTAGTGATGGCAGATGATCCTGATTACTTGCATAGAATGACCACTTTGTTCTGCATTAATGCACTGTCTGAAGCCTGTGGTCAAGAAATAACCACTGGGCCGGCCCCGTGGCTTAGCGGTTAAGTGCGCGCGCTCTGCTACTGGCAGCCCGGGTTCGGATCCCGGGCGCGCACCAACGCACCGCTTCTCTGGCCATGCTGGGGCCGCGTCCCACATACAGCAACTAGAAGGCTGTGCAACTATGACATACAACTATCTACTGGGGCTTTGGGGGAAAAAAGTAAATAAATAAAAAAAATTAAGAAAAAAAAAAAAAAAAGAAATAACCACTAAGCAGATGCTGCCCATCATATTGATGTGTGTGCATTACAAAAACTTTTGGACTAGGAAACTGGAGATTTAGGTTCTAGTCAAAACAATTTTACTGGCCAATGTGTAACTTTGGGCAGATCACTTCATTTCTTCAAACCTTAATTTCATAGATTCGTAGTTTTATAAAAACCTTAAAGACCAGTTAGTTTCCACTCCCTAAAATTGAGGCCCAGGGAGTTGTAGCTAATACTGCAGTGAACTAGATGCCCTTTAAACATCTAAATTCTAAAGTTAAAGTTCTAATTCTAGAAATCAGAATTCAAAATTCTAACATCCTCTGTTAGTGTCGAAGCATCTTCCCTTTCCCCTGGTATGCCTTTAGATGCCTTCTTCCTTTATATTTTGAGGTTTTTTTGTTTCATATTTAATAAGTATGTTCATATCTATTTTATTTAAACTTTGCTCCCTTTGGAAAGTGGACAGTAGAGGAAATAATATTGAAATGATTCAAACATAAATTTATTAGGTAAATGAGTGTTTTCCTTGATTGTTTTGTAAATATTGAAATAGACTATAAGTAAAAGTGCCCTGTAAAACAGAAAGATGTTGCATATGGAAGTAATCATACTTTTCACTATTATACATATTCTGTATGATGAGATTTAACGTTCCTAAGCCAGTATCTTCATATAAATGGGGAAATGCTACATTGATTTGTGTCTTTTTCAGGAGGAATCATCTAAGGCTTTGGGAAAGAACAAAAAAGTCAGAAAAGACAAGAAGAGGAGTGAACATTAATACCTGAAACTATATGAAAGGTTAATTTGCCTATAATTACATACAGATTCCACAGGCATCAAGGAATATATAGAGAGAGGATCCTGGACTGCTCAAGTCGGCCAATTCATTGTGGACACCAACATTATCTTTTCTTCTTTGGTTATATCATCTGCCAAAAATAGAGAACTTGTGATATATTCATGTGTGTTTCAGGCTGATTGGGAAGAATTAATATGAACTTAATCACCACTCCATCTAATTTTAGGAAGGTAACAGTTGCCCAGGGCAGTACCTGAATTAACTGTCCATTTCAGTACATGTCAAGTGCCTTTGTTAGGTGGGGAAGAAATGTCTCTAGAGGAATATAAATATCTGATTTCTTGTCATTGGGATTCTCATTTGGTGAATGAATATTGCCTTTTACTACTCTTTATGGCTTGTTGGAATAGGAGCTCATTGAAGATTGATCTTGGAGAGTTTCTTCTTGTGGTTTTGGTTCATAAGTATGTCACCTCTCATTTTATAGTGTTCATCATTGAGTAATGGATTAAGTGAAAATCCAGGAGTATCCATCTACAGTTACGTGCTGAAGTGATAATTCATCTAACACATTTGTTAGCGTAAGTGTTATGCCTCAGTTTCTCTTGCAAATTGGTGATTATGAAATTTCAAAAAGTGATTTTCTAGTGTCTACCTTTTTTGTTTTAATTCTTGTAATGTAAAGCAATAAATATGGAGTGTCACTACTTTCTTCTCGCCCCTGAAATGTGTTGGTGTAATATTCTGGTTTCTTTTAACAACTTGGAAGTACCTTTCTTGTGATCTTCATTGAGGACTTAGAACTACGCTAGAAGCTATGCTGTGGTAAAGGGACATTTATAGAAGGGATAGAGGTGGCGGAACAACACTGGTGGCAGGGCAAGATTATGTCATGTAGTTATGTAACTGTGATGCACTTGCCCCATCTGCACTCCAACCATCTTCCTCAGTTCCATGACTTTGTGGAGAGAAGGAACAAACCTTTTGATAGGAAAAACAAAATCCCTCCTTTTTTCCATTCTCATCAAATCTAACTTTTCATCAGTGTTATATGTTCCTTCTTTCATCTGCAAGTTGTGTGATTTACCTCTAGGTATCTAGACAATAAATTTACCTTTGATATATAACAATGTCATTAACTGTTCCCTTTCAGATATGATTGCAAACAATTATTAAAAGTTATTTATTGATCACAGATTTGCCTGAGATTCCCTTCCAAAGGGAGGGAGCAGAAATTAGAGGTAGGTTGGGGTGGTGCTGGAGTTGGAAAACATCAGAGAAAAGTGGACACAGATATTTTTTTCTATTCTTTGATGTTTTACCTTTAAAGGATCCAGCATCCTTATTTGGTATTTTAGATAAGAATCTAGTAAATAGCTTTACACTACGATGGATTCTGAGAAATAAAATCTAAATTCTATTTGTTGTGTGTTTAATGTTGCCAGTTATCAAGAGTCATCAGAGGATGACATGTATATTTAGAACACTTACTTAAGATTCCATGAAAAGTTATTTCCTATGTATTAACTGTTAAAATAATTATAGAACTTAAAGACCATTAATTAATATAAAAATAATTTCACAATTTTGGCATGTCAAGCCGGTGAAAGAAGAAATAAAGCAGTAAGAATTTGGCGCTGCAGAAAAATAAATGTGACTTAATTTTTCTGCAACACCATATTTCAATTTCTTTCTTTCTATCTAACATTTATTTAGGTCTTTATAGAAAACAAAAGCACCTTTATATCTGTGATATCATTTTCCCTCATTTAAAAAAAATCTTATTTTTACTTCTTTCTACAAAATTAACCACATTTTCCTGACTGAAGAACCTAATCTCTTTTTCCTCAAGTCAGTTAGCTGGTAAGGAGAGATTCAGAAGTCTCCAATTCTGGAACCTGAGTTATTTCACACTCTACAGTTATGGACCCCTAACTAATGATAGTATCTTTTTTCTCTATTTAAAATTTCTCTCAATTAGAGGATTTTCGAATTCTCCAAGTAATTTTCTATAGCCAGATCTATGCTGTGGCATATTTTATAGTATATTGTATTAATTAAAAATATTCTCCATATGCCAGTATATAAGAGCAAGTAGCATCTGCTTTTTAAATGGGAATAGCAGTATGATTTGAAGGTATATATCATGAAACAGCCTATTTGAAGAGAATTATATCAAACTAATCACAACCAAGAAAGAGTAGTATGAAGCAGATACTGTTTGGAGGGCAGGTGAAATTGGAAAAATTGTATAATCACCTCTAACTCTGCTCAATCTAGAGATAGAACCATTCCTAACATTTGGTATATACATCCTATTTTTTCTTATGCATGATTTTGTATATATGGCTATTTTTCTTTCCATAAAAATGTTATTAAACTGTATATACTGTTTTGTATCCTGCGTATTTCATATAGAAGTATATTGTTAACATTTTCTCCTGTCAATAAATATTCTTCTATGGCTTAATTTCTTATAGCTATATTGTATTCTGTCTTCTGGGTATATCATACTAACTAGTCCCCACTTGTTTCCAATTTTTAAGTTTTTCCATTTTTTCACTATTTGAAAACTACATTGTATGCACGTTTTTGTTTATATCTCTGGTTACTTAGAAAAAATTCCTAGAAATGGAATATCTTGGTCAAATGTTTGCACATTCCAGTAGCTTGATTTGTTTAGCCAAATTGCTCTCTAGAAAAGTTTTATCACTTATACCCCCGTTAGTGTTGTGTTAGAATATACTTAGAATACCAGTCAAGGATGTGGAAAACTGGGCAGTCTGGTAGATAAAACTACCAATATCTTTTTTTAAATTGATGTTTTTTGTTTTGAAATAGTTATAGTCTCATGCAAGTAGTTGTAAAGATAATGGAGAGGTCCTGTGTACCCAATCCTCAGCTTTCCCTGGTAGTAACATCTTACATAGCTACAGTATATTATCAAAACCAAGAAATATAATTCTGGATACAAGTTCTTTGGCAGAGATGTGATTCGCAAATATTTTCTTCCAGTTTGTAGTTCTGTCCTTTCATTCTCTTAACAGTGTTTTTTGCAGAGTAAGTTTTTAATTTTGATGAGGTGTAATTTATCTTTTTTTTTTTACTATACTTTTGGTGTCATATCTAAGGACTCTGCCTAACCCCAGGTCATGAAGATTTTCTTTTCTCTTTTTAAAGTTAGAGTTTTATGTTTTTCATTTATTATCCATTTTTAGTTAATTTTGTATAAAATGTGAGATTTAATTTGAAGTCCATTGTTTTGCATATGGATGTCCAACTGTGGACTAATTTTTAAAATTGAGCTTTTTTTAATATGGCTGAAGTGTTTTTTTTTTTAATTGAGGTAACATTGGTTTGTAACATAAATTTCAGGTGTATGTTATTATATTTCAATTTCTGTGTAGACTGCATCGTGTTCACCACCCAAAGACTACCACCCGTGCCCTGTATACTATATACTATACGCATGCCCTGTTACTCCTTTTGCTGTCTTCCCTTCCCTCTTCCCCTCTGGTAACCGCCAATCTAATCTGTGTATCTATGTGTTTGTTGTTTTTTCTTCCACTTATGAGTGAAATCGTACGGTACCTGTACTTGACTTTTTCTGTCTGACTTATTTCGCTTAGCGTAATACCCTCAAGGTCCATCCATGTTGTTGCAAATGGCAAGATTTAATTTTTTTTTTTTTTTTATGGCTGAGTAGTAGTACATTGTTTATATATACCACATCTTTATCCATTCATCCATTGATGGGCACTTAGGTTGTTTCCAAGTCTTGGATATTAAGAATAATGTTGCAGTGAACATAGGGGTGCGTGTATCTTTACACATTTGTGTTTTCGTGTTCTTTGGATAAATACTCAGCGGTGGAATAGATGGGTCGTATGGTAGTTGTATTCTTAAGTTTTTGAGGAATCTCTATACTCTTTTCCATGGTGGCTGTACCAATTTACATTCCCACCAGCAGTGTACAAGCGTTCCCTTTTTTCCACATCCTCTCCAACACTTGTTATTTCTTGTCTTGTTAATTACAGCCATTCCGATGGGTGTGAGGTAATATCTCATTGTAGTTTTGATTTGCATTTCCCAAATAATTAGTGGTGTTGAACATCTTTTCATGTGCCCAATGGTGATCTATATATCTTTGGGAAAATGTCTTCAGATCCTTAGACCATTTTTTTTTTTTTTTGTGAGGAGATCAGCCCTGTGCTAACATCCGCCAAATCCTCCCCTTTTTTTGCTGAAGAAGACTGGCCCTGGGCTAACATCTGTGCCCATCTTCCTCCACTTTATATGGGACGCCACCACAGCATGGCTTGCCAAGCAGTGCGTCGGTGCGCGCCTGGGATCCGAACCAGCGAACCCCGGGCCGCTGCAGCGGAGCGCGCGCACTTAACCGCTTGCGCCACCGGGCCGGCCCCACCTTAGACCATTTTTTAATTGAGTTGTTTGTGTTTTGTTGTTGAGTTGCATGAGTTCTGTATATATTTTAGATATTAACCTCTTATCTGATATATGATTTGCAAATATCTTCTTCTAATTGTAAGGTTGTCTGTTTTGTCAATGATTTCCTTTGCTGTGTAGAAGCTTTTTAGTTTGTTGCAGTCCCATTTGTTTATTTTTTCTTTGGTTTCCCATGCCTGGTGAGACATGATATTCAAAAAGATACTGCTAAGACCAACGTCAGAGAGCGTACTGCCTATATTTTCTCCTAAAAGATTTATGGTTTCAGGTCTTACGTTCAAGTCCTTAATTCATTTTGAGTTAATTTTTGTGCATGGTGTAAGATAATGGTCTGCTTTCATTCTTCTGCATGTGGCTGTCCAGTTTTTGAAGAGACTTTACTTTCTCCATTGTGTGTTCTTGGCTCCCTTGTCAAAAATTAGCTGTCCATAGATGTGTGTGTGTGTGT